AGTTGTACTCCTGGAAATTCATACTCCAGGATTGCCCTGGTCCTTGAAAGAAATTAATTCTTGTAGGTCACACTATTCATTTCAGAAGTGTCTCCATAGGTCCATGGTTGTGCAGAGTACAATCCCAAAGTTTTGAGACTTTGGTTCCATTCCATTCATCGCTGAGGTAAGTATGGAGCAAGGGACTCAGAGTGACCTGTCCAGCATTTTCCTGCCTGCAAAATGGCAGAGCCTGCAGTTGAGGCAAGTGTTTGGACTCATCTTAGTATTCTTTCCAAGTACATCACCACTCTGCTCCTTGTTCCTCTGTTTTCCTGGGACCTGTTAGGCAGTTGTTTCCTAAGCAAGTTTTATTGTTCTTATACACCCCTCCCAATCCTGTGGACAGCCTTGGAAGGGTTAACTTTTGTTGAACTGGAGGCCTGGGCCAAGTACAGAGTGTCTATTGTGTGCCCGCCCCCTCTGGAGGAGTCTTTGCTGAAATGTGAAGAGGCAAAATGTTTTCACCTTGCCTTGGCTTCACCTCCTCTGTGAGCGTGTGAGTGTGTGTTCACACGTGCATATTGGCAGGAGTGCACCACCAGAGGACTCACAGTTGTCTCCAGACTCACCAAAAACCTGAATTTGGGGTGGCAGGTATTTGCTGGGAGAAGGCAGAAGGATAACAACAGCTTTGTGTGCTGGTGAAGTAAACAGACAGGTTAGGTTTCTTTGCTCTTTGCTTTTGAAAGCTTCTTTTTACTTTTGTTTTCTTAAGGTGAAGTGTGCATGTGGATGTGAGGGGCTGAATTATAATCCTTGGAGTAGGCATTTTGAATTTTGCAGGGTGAGTGGAGCTGCAGTTGGAGTAGATTGAACCACAGGACTTGGAATAGTTGTCAGGGGTTAAACCATCTTCATTCAAAAAGAACTTGAAGTCCTCCAAATCCCAATCCTACATTGGGGGCTGAAGCGAATATAAGTGTTGTACAATCATAGTCTGTCTCAGCCTGAGACTGAATTGCTGTGGAATAAGGAAAATGAGATATGTGTACTTGAAACAATGCAAGATTAGTATTTAGTGGCAAACTATACAGCTGGGTGCAGTATAAGGCAGGCCAGGGATTGAATGCTGAGGGCCAGGATTTATAAACAGTTGCTATGGACAAGTGAAGACTTGGGCATGACCTTGAGCTATGGGAAGGTTTGGAATCTGTTTGTTCATTCATTTGTTCATTCACCAAACATTTGGAGAGCTCAGATTGAATGCCAGGAATTGCATGACTAGGTGGAAGGGGATATAAAAAAAAAATTATAAAAAAAAAAATCAAGGCAGAAGGAATTCAGTGTGTGTAATGTCGCTGTGGAGACTGGTTCTACAGCAATCAGTTATGCAAGTTGGCAGTCATTGAGTCTGTAGCTGGATTCTCAAAATGAGACCACCATGAAAATTCCAGAATTGATGTGTTACTAATAATGGGGGTTATTTGAAAGTGCCTTGCTCTTTAATCTCTGTTATTGACTATGTCATACTCACTCAACCAGGATTCAGGCCCTTATGGAATAAGTCAAATTTTAGCTGAGTCTTTCATGTTCCCCACCTCCTTCTAATCCCAAGTTCCCCTTAGTTTATCTCTTGTAACACCTGTCAGAATTATGTTCCTAAACCTAGTTCCTTAGATGACTTCCCCTTACCTACAAGATCAAATCCAGCTCATTATTCAAGGATGTCCACATTTCACCCTCACCTTGTCTTTCCTGCCCTATCTCTCACTATTACCCATTTTGTACCACACCTTATAGCCAAGCCTCAACTTTCTCTTTCCTGTACTTAGCCCTGTATGCTCCAGCCTTAGACCTCATGCTGTTCCTTCTGTCTTCTTTCTTCTCACTCAACCTACTGAAGACCATCAAAGTCAAGGTCTTAATCAATTCTCCCCTCGAAGCCTTCCTATGCAGTTTCCAATCTGCTGGTCTACACCTCACCTGAGAGAAAAACACTTTACCTTCCCTTTGTTTCTATCTTTAGGACATATAAAAAAGTGCTCTATTTTGGAGTTGCTTTCCAGGTTATTCAATAGTGTAACCTCTTTGAGGAAAGAGTTTGTCCTTACTGATGAAAACTGGAAAATTGTCATTTATTGTGAACCTCTTATGACTTGAGTTTTTAGTTTTGGAGCTTTGTTTTCAACATCAATTAGCTAATGATTTATAGGACGTAAATATAAGAAACTCTGAAGGGAGTGACTGTTTTTTAAAAGAAGAGACTTTTTAAATACAACCCATACTACCAAACATTCCTCTAAAGTTTCATTTTTTCTTATCACAGAAGCTGCAGTATGCATTGTCCAGCTCTTGTTCAAAAGTCCAAATGAATTTAATTTAGTAATGTTTGTTGCAGAGTATGCCTCACCTTTTGCTCTGACCCAAGCATACCTTTCTAGGTAGATACTAGGGAATTAAAATGTAACAGTATGATCCAGCAATTCCACTCCTAGGTATTTACCCAAAGGACACAGAAACATCAATTCCAAAGAGCACCTGCACCCCTATGTTTATAGCAGCACTGTTTACAATAGCTAAGCTTTGGAAACAACCCAAATGCCCAAAAATAGATGACTGGATCAAGAAGATGTGGTACATATATACCATGGAATATTACTCAGCATTCCAAAAAGATAAACACATGCAATTTGCAGCAACATGGATGGCACTGGAAGGGATCATGCTCAGCGAAATAAGCCAAAAAGAAAAAGAAAAATACCGGATGGTCTCACTCATAGCAGGAATCTAGAAAACTTAAATAAGGGACCAGGAAAATGAATATAAGAAAGTGAAAATCAAAATCAACAAAAAACTATGAACCAGAGACACTTTTTGGGGGTGGGGGGCGGGAGGGGAAGGATTGGGGTCAGAATGGGGCGTTTGCAATTGTATGGGGGAATATAAAAATAAAATTTATTATAAAAAAAAAAAACTTTTAAAATAAAAAAAAAAAAGTAACAGTAGTGATTCCGGGGCAGAAGGATTATATCACTGAATACTACTGCCATAAAAAAAACAAACAAACAAAAAACAAAAAACATGACTTACAAGTTGTATGGGTATGAATCCAAGCTGAGAAAGATCTACTGGATTCCTGACAGTCAGGGATCAGGAAGGGCCATGTTCTAAGGCATCTTCATGTCTCCGACAGCTGGTGTATTACCTGACAGTTGTAAGAGAAGCCTCAATGAATGTGGACTTGAATTCGACTTTTTAAAATGTATAGGTTTTGAATGGATAGGCAGATCAGTCTAGAAGACACAAAGAATCTTACAAGTAAAAGAAAAATCAAGTGTCCTGGGTCTGACCGCCCTTTCCCCTCTCCTAAGTGGAGACTTTATCCATTTTGAAGTTCAGGGGCACAGGGAGTTGTTGAGTTTCAGTGTTCATTGACAGCTTCAGTGAATGTGCTTCGGCTCTCAGCTTCTCACTGGGCAGCCTCTTCTCTTCCAGAAATGCTGTGTTCTTTGGGTTTTATCCTGGCTGGAAGCAGTTGTAAATGTGTCTCTCTGCAGGGCTGAGCTGTTTCCAGGAGCCAAGGATGTTCCATGGCTTCTCTGGGGAGTAGGGTCCATGTTGAAGCCCTGTCTGCCTTGATGACTGGCTTCCGTGTAGGGTATCTGCTGAAAATACACTGACGCTTTGAGAGGGAATAAATCCCTACCCTGTCTTCAAATTTCCAGTTCTTGGTTGTTCTGACTGAGTCTTGGCAGGCACTGTGTGGATTTTCCTGTGGTAACATTGCATTATCAATACCTTGAATGGATGAATTTAAAGAAGAATACAGGGTGTATAGTAATGTCTTCTGCTGGAAACTTTTTGGGGAGATCTGACATGTGATCTCACTATAGTCTGAGAGTGGTGTGGGGAGAAGGGGTGGGTAGTGGTGGAGGGAGAGGATGTCTTGATGTTTTGTGCAGCCCTAGGGTTCTAGATTTTCTCTTAAGAAATATGAACTTGGAAGTAATGGGACATAGAGTGGAGAGGGTGAAGGATAGCTTGGATGATGCCATGATGGTCTGGAGAGAGCTGATTGATTTTTCACCTTTTCTCAGAAGGAAGGCAGAAGCAAACATCCTGGTGTAGGCCACAAGAGTGGTTTTCTGACAGTTCCCAAAGCTTGTGAAATTCTCCCTTTCTCTTTTTTCTTGTCATGTAGACATAATGCCACTTTATTAAAAGACCAGAAAGGGATTTAAAACTGTCTCCAATGGCTATTTTTCTCTAAATCATTGATAATGATTAAATATCTTTTGTGTCGATGGAAATATTTTTAGCCTTTGTTTTGTACTAATCACAGCTCTATAAATGATTTACCACTGAACTCTTCTTGTTTTCCCTTTTTCATGCCTGCATTTAAGCTGTGCATTTGTTTTGAGAAATAAAGATAAGTCTTTTGCACAATTGAAATGATCCATAATGGAAAATGATAAAGAATGGTCGAGAATTCACCTGGTAGTTCTTCCTCCTGGGGATAGAAAGCTTGGCCCGGTCAACTGGTGGTGGTGGAGAAATGAGGGGTGGAGGGCGGGTAGCAGCTCTGGGGGTTGTGTTCGACTCTGCAAACTGTTCTCCACTGTGAGAGGGAAGTGGTGCAAGAAGTCAGCCAAATGCAGTTCCCACAGACCTGAGCATCAACACTTCAGACTTCCCTTTTGTCATGGTTGGTTTTGATGATGACTCAGCCAGCTGTGGCTTCAGTGTAAGAAGTTTCTAGCTTGTTACTGGACTGGAAGACTTACCTCTTATCTTTAATCTTGGTCCTGCAGCCATAAAAATTAATAACAATTTAACGAAAGGCTGTGAGTGTGCGTATGGGTCTGCTCCAGTATAATGCAATTGAGCATGTGCAAAATCTGCTTTGATTTCATTCCATCATCCTTTTTTGATGCTGTATATAAGTGGAAGGGGTGTCTGGAACTCAGATGGAAGGTCTTTTACCTCCTGTCATGGCTAATGATCTTTCTGCTTCTCAGTTGCAGATTTGATCTCTTCTGAACACCTCACCGTGTCTCCATCCCTGGGACTCTGAACCCAGCAGCTGGACCACTTTTTCCTTGGAATTTTGGGTGTCCTCTCATCTCACTTTTCCTTTTTCCCTTTCCCCTCCTGAGAACTCCTGAAGACTGTTGGATTGTCATGGAGTCCAGGGAAATCTTAAGCAGCTCCCGGCAAAGGGGGGGCGAGTCGGAATTCCTGCCAGTCTCCTCAGCCAAGCCCCCGACTGTCCCTGGTTGTGCAGGAGAACCTTTACTCTCTGCTGCAGGAACTGGGAAGGGGATCCCGGTGGGTGGAGAACGCATGGAGCCAGAGGAGGAGGATGAACTGGGCTCAGGGCGGGATGTGGATTCCAACTCCAATGCTGACAGCGAGAAATGGGTGGCAGGAGATGGCCTGGAAGAGCAGGAGTTTTCTATCAAGGAGGCAAACTTCACAGAGGGGAGTCTGAAGCTGAAGATTCAGACCACGAAGCGGGCTAAGAAACCCCCAAAGAATCTGGAGAACTATATATGCCCACCTGAGATCAAGATCACCATCAAGCAGTCTGGGGACCAGAAGGTATCCCGTGCTGGGAAAAATAGCAAAGCTATGAAGGAAGAGGAAAGAAGCCACTCCAAAAAGAAGGTAGGGAGCTCTGTGTTTTAGGGTTTTTTGTTTGCTTTTGTTATTTTATCCTCAACTTTTAAGTGTCTATTGGTTTATGACTTATTTATTTCTAAGTTAATAGCCTCCTCGATGGACTTTTTAGAGGCTCAGGCAGAAATGCCTCTAATATCATGGTAGCGTGTCCAAATGATTACTCAATCTTCTATCTACTTGAAAAAAAAAAGTAGCTGCTAGAATTATAATTTTGGGGCATTCCAACTTAATGTATAGCAGCATGATATTGGCTGGATCAATTCTGGCTAAACTGTGACAAAATATTGAGGGTTCCTTTTTTCTTTTAATATTTGCAACTGTTCTCATAGTCAGGCGTGAGATGTTGAAAGATTTGGGTCAGTCAGGACAATCAAGAGCCAATGTAACTGCCTTTTGGTTTTGAGAACTATAGTAAATCTTTATAAAATAGGCAAGTTGCTCACTTGTCTAAGGAAACTCTGTCTTAGGGTCCCGAGAGATCATTGTTCCAAAGGCCAGTGCTGAGTATTGGTACTGAAACTGCAGAGAGAAAGGGGCAGACTACTCACTTGAATCCTTGTTGAACACCTCACACAGTTTAAAGAATGGGTGGTGTGGAATGAACTTCTTTGAGTGACATTTTCTTCCTAAAAGTCAAACCTGGGTGATTGGTGGTGTCATTTGGTTGGGAATGAGTGAATCTGGCTTCATTGTGTTTATTTTGTATCACAGGGGTTTATAGTGACCTCTCATCCTGCCAGGGATGCAACCCTTGGTTGCCATAGCAGAGGACTGTCCTTGTCTGAAAAGTCTTTGTTTCTAAGAATCTTTGGGACTTGTGAATGGCACTGAACTCCATCTTCTTGGTGGAGTTTTGGGGTTCTAAGCTGTAGGTGCCAATCAGTCTTTTTTACTCTCCAACATTTCATTTATTTGGGCTCTAGACATGCTGGATTAGCTAAAAATATGCATATGAATGAACCTCTCTCCTTTATAACACAGGTAATATGTAGCATTTCTCTTGCCAGAGATTTTGAGCTTTAGGGTAGTCATTTTCAATAAAACTGGGAGGCCTCATGTTCTTTCTTTAGTGTAAGCCTTATGTCCTTCCTCATCCTGGTATTTTGGCTGTTTCATTGCATTTAAAATGCATAGACTTGGACTAGAAGAGGTTCTCTAGGGTGACCAGGTCCTTCCAGTTTGCTCAGACCATCCTGGTTTTGAACCAAAAGTTATGCATCCAGGAACCAGGTCAGTCCTGGGCAAGCCTGGACAGCTGGCCACCTTACTCTGACTTATGAACACAAAGGAATCTTTGTCTTTCGAGAGCATAGGGGCATTGCTTTCCCCTCTGTGCCATGCTTTCTGAGTTTTCTTTGTCTTAAAACCAAAGATTATCTAGACACACATGAAAACTTTGGAGACTCTTGTTAGCAAATGCAACAACTCATATCAGGCTCCAAATAAAACAAAAGCATTGAAAATGGTCAGTTCTTTGTGTGTTGTTGGTTTTCTGTGGGTTGGGCAGTCTAGAAAACTGTAACTGTTTTTATCTTCTTTCCCATCACTGCCAATTGTTGAGCACTTTTGGGTGAGCAAATCTAAATACACTGTGCTAGAAAGAAAATAAGTTGTCCCGATCAGGTATTAATTTCCTAAAAGCCACAAGATTGTTCCCAAATATAGCCTTGTGCCATACTGGAATGTCCCAGAATAAAACTTTGGAATTTGTGACATGAAGATGATTTCAGAACTGAAATATGCAATGGCCCTCCATTCTCATATCTGGAATTTTTAGGTTGGTCATCCTCATCCAAAAAGCTGGCTGGCTTTGTGTTCCTTATTGGAAAGAGAAATGAAATCACTTCTTTGAATTTGTGACTTAACCAAGTCAGCATTTCTAAGCCTTGGCAATTGGGAAAAGGCTAAAATTCAGCACACAGTACAGTATGACGCTGATGTGCTAATGGGAATGTGTACAAAATTTTTTAAATCATTAGGAATTTGCCTCACAGGGTACTTCTCCATCCTTTCTACATTGATGCCTAGAGCTGTTGCTTTCCAGAAATGAATGACTAAAGGTATCAGTACTTGTTGTAAGTCACTTGATAGATGGACCTTTCTTTGATCTCTATAGGGACTTTCTCTGATCTCTCTATTGGATTAGAATGTTAACTTTATTACTCTTTTACCTGTTGTTTTGTCAACAGAGAGTACACTGAGTGCTGACATGAGGTGGAAAGGTGAAACCTGACCTTTTGTTTGTATGAAAAAGTTCAGTGACATGAACTTTTGCAGGATTTACTTATTTATTTGATGTGAAGTATGTGATCAGTGTCTAATATTTAGTCTTCTACATCTTTTTTTATGAGGCAAGCTACCTATTGAAGAAGTGTGCCTGGAGCAGCCCCTGTGATCAGGTCCTAGGCTAGGAGCTGGGAGGAGGCCCTCTGGAGCTGGCCCTAGGGTTGGGAGGTTCTGGACTAGAAATGCTCACTACTTCAGGGATCACAAACTGTGTAGTTCATGGGCCCCACATCTACCCCTGCCTGCTTTTGTAGAGTCCTTAAACAAAGAATGTTTTTTATGGTTTCAAAAATTTGGAAAAAAATCAAAAGAAGAATAATATTTTGCAACATGAAAATTATATGAAATTCAGATTTAGTGTCCATAAATAAAGATTTGTTGGACTGGAGCCACATCCATTTGTTTACATTTTGTCTTTGACTGCTTTTGCGCAATAGCAACAGGATGGAGTAGCAGTGACAGGGAGTGTATGGTGCACAAAGCTTAAACTATTTACTAGCTGGCCCTTACCAAAAGCCAAAAAAGACTGTTGATCTTTGTTGTAGTAAAAGGATATAGAGTTTCAGGATAACAAAGGTTTTGTTTAATGTTGAATGATTCAGCCTCCAATGTTGGAGATGGGGGAAATTGGGTGTTACCTCATTATGTGCTTTCTTTTGCATTTTCTGCAGACCAATTAATTTTATTTAAGTCATTGTTTGACAGCCTTAAGCGAAGACAGCTTATGTGGGATCCCAAATGATTTTATCTTTCATTGGTTTTTGTAAAGAAAAAGTTCTGTAGGATACTTACAGCATTCTTTACCTATCACACACTGGTTCTCTGCTAGGTTAGCTCTAATTCTACTGCTTTGGGATGAGGTGATACATGTGTGTCATCCTGAAGAGCTTAATTCCAGTTTTTCAGACCAACTGGTGTATATGTTCAAGCAACATTACCAGCTAAGCGATAGGCTCTTAGGGGAGACTAATGGAAATAGCACCTTCCTGGCTCAGGCAGGCAAGGACTAAGCCTTCTAACCAGGGGACATACGCCTTCCCTTCACTTGAAATTAAGAGGGCAATTGAAAGGATCTCTGGAAGAGAGTTTACGATGAATGGATTTACATGAGGTGTGAGAGCAACATTTGGTAAGAAGGAGATTCTGAAATGAGAGTTCAGAACATATTTCAGGAACTCAGAACTGTCCTTTGGACCAGTCCTGCTTTGCAGATGGACTCCATCAATATAATTTGCTCTTTATTATAACACCAACATTGCTTCATCTAAACCATAACTCAGGTAAGTGATGTAGTAACTTATATTCCTTACTAGGTCACTCAATTAAGAACAACAGAAAGCATGAAAATGAATTGAGAAGCAAGCTCAGGTACAACACCTGCGCATAAAAAGTTTCACTAGTGACAGGATAGTTTAAAAAGCTCTCACCTGGCTCAAAACTGTCCTCTTTTCGGAGGACCTTCCATGGGAATCAGGGACACTCATTCAAGTTCAACAGCCCACAAGGAGAGGAGGGAAGTTCTAAACTAGCACCACATGGTGACCCAGGGGAGAAGTGGTGTGGAGCTCTGCACAAGCTGACTGTGTGACTTGGATGTGGAGTGTATAATCTTGCTGAAGCCTCAGCTTCCTCGTCTGCCAAACAGAGATGACTGAATGTGATGGAACTCTAGCGAAGATTTTGAGAAAGATGAATTATTTATAGAAAACACATCATAAATAGTTTTGATTTGTTGAGCAAGATGGCAGACCCTCAGCTAGCTATTTTACACATATTCACTATCTCTAGCAGCCCTTATAACAATTCTGCCAGGCTGATATTATTTATTATCAGATGAGGAATCGAGGCTCAGTGGCTTGAAAAAAGCAGGAGCAGGGCTAGCCAGCATTTGTTCACAGGAGGCTAAATTTCCCCTTGTTTAATTTTTCATTTTCTGTCTATACAATTTTTTTAAGCCCCTATTTATTTATCAGAGTGCCGGAAATTTTGTTTCCTCATAGTTTTCTCTCCAATTATGTTGTGGCTAAAGCCAGCTGGAGGGTGGTGAGTGACCTTTTACACAAAGTATTTGTCTTCATGGGGCAGCAGGTACCGTTTGACATTTGGAGTTGAAGTTGTGGGTCAGAGAACACTGGACTGGGTGAATGGAGCCCGGGACACTAGCTCAGATCTGTTATTAACGAAGTCAGTATAAATGCTTCAATTCTCTGGGTCTCACTTTCTGCAGGTTAAAAAAAAAAAAAAGAAACAAAATGGCTTTTGACCTCTGAAGCCTTATTTCTGTCCTGGAAACTGCAAAGTTTACAAGTCATTCTGTTAGATGGGGCATGTCTTTCTCTTTAAGAAAACTAGTTACTATAAACAAAAATTTTGACCTCTTTTGGACCCATTGTTCTGCCATCAGCTTGTTTCTTTTTTCCCCAAATGCCAAAAGTTCAGAAATCGTGAGAGCATGTTATAGAGCTGAGCTTAAAAAGTGAGATTTACCAAACTCAAGTGCCAGGAGGCTATTCTGAGAAGGTTTGGTCCCTCCCTTCCAAAACTTCTCCTATTTTTCTTTTTATCCTCCTATGTTTGGGATTCCCTTGGGGTTTAAAGCACGCTCCTCTTTTCCTCCTGCTTTTAATATTCTCCCGGGATTCAGTTTTGTTTTGGATTTCCCCAAGGAACATTCTTTGGTGAACTCCATGCCATTAAAG